CACTCTTTGTCAGTTTACAATTCAATTCTAAAGTTAAACTTCTTTTCTTTTTTCATTACGAAATTCTTTTCATGATTTTTTTGACTCAAGTAGTGACTTTTGACTAAGAAGAATTATTGAAAAATATTGATTATATGGGTTTCTTCAAAAAGAAAGTTTATGGGGTTATTCTTAATATTGTAATAAATTTATTTTGAGTATAATTATTGCAATATTTTATTTTTTATTAAATAAATATTGCAAATTGTTGTTTTTTGTTTTTTAATCAAATAAAGGTTAGAATTTTTCTACTTTCTTTTTTTTGGGGAAATATTTTTCGAAAAATGGAGACTTCATTATCTTTTGATTTTTTTTTCTAACACAATACAAAAAAATATATATATTTAATAATATATTATTTAATAACATAATAATAATAATAATAATAATAATAATAATAATAATAATAATAATAATAATAATATAATTTTATATATATAAAATATTTTTGTCCATGTATATTAAAATAAAAGTTACAATTGCAAACGTTATGCACGCTACGATTTATCTACAGTTTCTAACCTACAAATAAATTTGTCTTCTTTTATTTATTTCCTCGAATTGAATAGGATGAAAGAGAAAGATAAATAGATAGATAGATAGATAGATAGATAAAGAAAGATTCAACAAGATGATTTATTTCTATCGTAGAAGAGAAGAAAGAACTTTTCTTTGTAGGTCGACGTGCTCGGTTAAACCTATTGGACAAGCCGCCAAAAACGGTTTTTAAGACCACGTGGGTGTGCCGTTTGAAAATTCGCGGGAAAACAATAGACGTTCGAACAAAATGGAGCGTTACGTTAATAATGGAGGTTAATTAATCGAATTTTAAGAAGAAAAAAAAAATAAAATAAAACAAAATACATGAACAATTTTACACATTTACACATTAAATTTTTATAAATAAAATATTCCATATACTTAGATTAATTTTCTAATATAAAAAGAATTAATTTATCTACGATTTAAATACACGTTTTGTACGTTACTATAACCTGTTGTTTTTTTTTTTTAATTTGATTTGTTTTTTTTTATTTGTTTAAACGTACTAACAGTTAATAATAATAATAATAATATATCGTAATCTTTCGATACACGTCACTAGATTGAAGCAATGAAAAATCGCCAACACATCTATTTCACTCTCTGTTTCACTCTTTGAGAAACTTGTGCCAAGAAAGTGGCACAATTTGGGCGATGATACGATGAAAAAGCTCATCGAATGAATACGACGATATTCAAAAATCATGCAGTCTGCAATACACGATGTGAGGTGTTCATTAGAATTATAATTATATTCATTTGACAGTAAGTAAAAAAAAAAAAAAAAAAAAAACAATAATCATATTGTTTATCTTATATTTTACTTTGACAATTTTAATTTTGCTTTTACAAATGAAAGAATAAAAACAAAAACAAATATGAACAATTGTTTAATAATTCACAGCCATGATTGAAAAAGAACCAAAATGAAATGATTGATGAACAACAACAAGAAAAAAAAAAAAACAAAACAAAACAAAAAAAACTGTAAAAGATTGAAATAATATTTGAATCATTGAAGAAGAAGATTATTTGACTTTTTTTTTTGCAACATTGTGAATGAAGAAAAAACCCTAAACAAATAAGGAATTTAAAGAAAAATCCTAAAACTTGGTGTGTAACATCTCTCTCTCTCTCTCTCTCTCTTTCTCTCTCTTTCTCTATTTCTATTTCTCTTTCTCTTGAATTCTATTTGAGAGTTTCGCTGCCAATTTAAACGAACGAACGTACCTTTTAAAACGATTAAAAATAATCGTAGACGTGTGCGCGCATGATCCCCCGAACGCGTATCATTAAATCGGCCATTGTATGTGAACTGACATGATTACGTATCTTTTTGTATTTATTTATTTATTTATTTATTTAATTCTATTATTCTTTTTCATATAAAATAATAATAAACGAAAGTAAAAAAAAAAAAAACAAAAAACTAAAAAACAGAAGGATAAATCTTATTTGATCGAAAAAGATAATAAAATTGTTTTTACAAATAATGTTTTTTTTTTTTTTTGAATATCACACATCATCAATAATTTTATGATCTTTGTATGTACAATGATTAACTTTAAGTGTTTCAAATAAACAATGAATATTATTTGTTAATTAAAGGTGTGTAATATCATCAAGTTTCTTTATATATATATATATAGGTATATAAATTATTATATTTAAATTAATTAATTTAACATTTATTATAATTTAATTTTATCTAATTTAATTTTATATAATTAATTTAACATTTTAATTCTATATATATATATAATAATAAAATTTAAATAATAATAAATTTGAAATAATAAAATTTAAATAATAATAAATTTGAAATAATAAAATTTGAAATATAAAAATATAAAAATATAAAAATATATATATATATATATATTCAATTCTTCAAATATATATAATAATTCAAATATAAATAATTATTATATTAATAATAAATTATAAAAAATATCCAAATATATAAATAAAATTAAATATAAATTATAATATTATAAAATATTATATTAAATAATTATATAAAATAATA